TAATTTTCTGTAGTGCAAGAGTCTGTATTTGAGCAAAACTATTTTTTTGGTTGGATTTTGGTTTGTTTATTCTGAATGGTCTCTAATGTCAAAATATTTAAATGTTCTTATTTTGTGTTTTGACAGATAGATCCAAGCTCTCATGTGATTGAATGCATTCCAGATTGATCCTAAGCTCTAAATCAGATACAATGTGTAAGGCAAGGCAAGGCAAGGCAGCTTTATTTGTATAGCACATTTCAGCAACAGGGCAATTCAAAGTGCTTTACATAAAATCAGTTTAAGAAATAAATAAAACACAAAAGAAACAGTTAAAAAAACAACAACAAAAAAAAACACAAGAAACAAAATTACAGTGCAGTATAAGAGATTAAACAGTAAAGAAATTAACTTCATTTAGAGAAAGGCAACATCAAAAAGAAAGGTCTTCAGCATTAATTTATAAGAACTGAGAGTAGCAGCGGACCTGCAGGTTTCTGGGAGTTTATTCCAGATGTGAGGACCATGTGTACCAGAACTCTTAAGTGTTTTTACACTACTGCTACATAAGTAATGAAAATATTGCTGCTCAATGTTTAAAAGTGAAAACTTTTTCAATGGTTTTGTATTTAATTGTTCTTTAGCTTAAAGAAGCAACTGGATCTGTCAAAGCATCACTTGCTCACTTGCTCTCACCTCGAAATAACTGTCTGAAGCATTGATAAAACAGTGTCAGATATAAAATCCTCCATATCTTCCTTTAACTATATGGCCATTTGAAATCACCACTGTATCTATATATGTGCTATTTTTGTAAAATACCTTTTTATTTATTTTCTCTCCCTTCCTGATGATTTCTGTCTTTAACCTGCTTCATATTGAAAACTCTTTTCTTTATCGTCAAGGAAGCTGTTGGACTCTCTGACCACCTTCATTGCTCAGAATTTTTACCCACCATGAGAGTAAGGAGTGGAAAAAACATGGAGGAGGGATATATGGATGCAGTGAGAGGGCAAAAGGGAGAGCAAGCTAGGGAAAGAGCAGCAGGAGAGTTGAAAAGCCATCCCACTGCATCCCCACTTCACTGGTTTCCAAAGGATCAACAGGGTGCTAAAAGCACTCAGGGGAGGAGGAAATGGATGGGTTATAGAGATGGGGGAATTCAGAGTGATGGGGAGAAGAAAAAAAGAGAGCATAAAGTGAGAATAAATTGGAAGGGAGATGTGTATTTTGCTTGTGTCTTTCCTCCTCTGTCACTCAGGGCTAAGGTTTACCACTGACACAAGGATGGACAATAAGGGGGTTGGTTCCAGATATAAATGGCCTGTCATTTCTCTCATCACAAAGAATATAGCCTCTATAATATTAGTTTGATACATCCACAGTATGAGGAGGTCAGTGATTGTTCTTAAGAGTATAAATATGAGTTATTATAATTAATCTTAAGGACGAGCTGTGTTTGCGTCAGTGGCGCCTCCAGAAATGTTTCATCCGTGTGGCCAGATGGGGCCACTAAAATCTCGGGATGGCACACTGAAACTAAAGGCCATTATTTCAAGGTTTGAATCTACGATTGTGGTAACCTGCCTGTAGAAATCATTAAGACCTAAGTAAACACTCATATCTTGGTTTATTGTGTGATTTTTAATGTTACGTCGCTGGCTGTGCATGACGGGAAGAAATTCAATTCTTTTATTAAGGGATAGCCCCTTGAGATGATCCATCTCGTTTTCGAGGGGGTCCCAAGAACAACAGAGACAAACAATACACACAGTCACACATCCATACCAAAGCTCTTCATCACTACAAGCTAAACAGTCCAACATCTCTACACAAATATATTTATGCAGGTAAACAAACAAATAGAAAATATATGTATCTATATATATAGAACACTAAGCAGAAATAAAATAAGAATAAAATACAAGTAAAGTACTCAGGAGAAAACCCACAATTGGAAAATCAGTTAAATAAATAAAAAAGATAAGAAGGAAAAATAAGCATGTATATATGCACAACCGCACAGATGAATATAGGTACAGCAGCAGGTACATAACTTTTTGTTTTGTTTTGTTTTAAGGACCACGGCCAGGAAAGCAGGTGCACTGGTCTCTTGAATGCAGAAAACTTAATAAGGATGATTTAAAGTGAGGAAAAGATGAAATTGATCTCAGTGATCTGGGTAAGCTATTCCAGTCAGAAGGGGCTTTAAATCTGAAGGCACGTCTTCCTATTTCTTTAGATATTCTTGGAACAGAAAAGAACAAATGATCAAGATGTCTAAGTCCATAAGTAGACCTATATGGATTCAAATGGTTTTGTAAATAGGACGGATAATTAAAGAAAAAACATTTATAAATAAACTGAAACCAGTGTAACTGCCGTCTAGTCTTAGGTGATAAGAGGTTAAGTTGCTGATACATGTGACAATGGTGGGTAAGGTATGGGCATCTCAACACAAATCGACAGAGACTGTTGAAAACAACATTTAGAGATTTAAGGTGTGATTCTGTTGTATTCATATACACAATGTCAGCGTAATCAAGGATTGGAAATAAAAGCTGTGTTACAATTCGTAGTCTGATCTGTTGAGTGAAACAATTTATAGAGCGATATAAGAGTCTAAGATTGAAATTAATTTTCTTGACAACGGAGTCAATATGTGACTTGAAGGAAAGATTGGAGTCAAGCAGAAATGTTAAACTAATGCTAGTACAATTGAGTGGGGTGGCCAGTGGGGCCACCTGGTGGTGCCTCTGGTTTGCATCTGCTTAAGGTGACAGTGAAGCCATTTGGCCTTTGGTTATTGTGTTTTGTGTGTTAATTGAATTTTTCAGTTTAAAAATGTGACATTTTATTATGTTAGCACCAAAAACCTTTTTTTTTTATTTTTATTGGCATTTTGTATGTCATAAAAACCCATCCATCCATCCATCCATCCATCCATCCATCCATCCATCCATCCATCCATCCATCCATCCATCCATCCATCCATCCATCCATCCATCCATCCATCTTCCTCCGCTTATCCGGGGTCGGGTCGCAGGGGCGGCAGCTTAAGAAGGGAGGCCCAGACTTCCCTCTCCCCAGCCACTTCTTCTAGCCCCTCAGGAGGAACCCCAAGGCGTTGCGAGGCCAGCAGAGAAACATAGTCTCTCCAGCGTGTCCTGGGTCTTCCCCGGGGCATCCCCCCGGTGGGACGTGCCCGAGTCACCTCAACTGGGTCCTCTCGACGTGGAGGAGCAGCGGCTCTACTCTGAGTCCCTCCCAGATGACCGAGCTTCTCACCCTATCTCTAAGGGAGAGCCCAGCCACTCTACGGAGGAAACCCATTTCGGCCGCTTGTATCCTCAATCTCGTTCTTTCGGTCATGACCCAGAGTTCATGACCATAGATGAGGGTAGGAAGATAGATCGACCGGTAAATTGAGATAAAAACCCAAAGGAGATAATTGCAAAGCGGGAAAGCTGTGGAACCGTTCCCCTTTTTCATCCAGGCAAGGAAATCTTCAGAAACATATGCATTACTTGTGATAGCAACCTATTTTCTTGAACTAAAAAAACACTATAATGATGCAACATGTTAAAACTAAGGGATCTTGGACTCGATTTAATATTTGTAACAGCTTTTATCAAATTCAGCTTTTTCAAAATCCTATGAAAGATTTATTTTTACTTGTTCTATTTTATGCAGTATTCAGCTGCCTTTATTCTTTTGCAGGAGCTTCCTCTATTCGTTTAGGTCTCTGTCCACCGATTATAATCTATGACTTACCACAGGTGATATAAGAAGTTTACTTTGAGGGGGGAAAAAAAACCCTGAGGGAATTTTCATAAAAAGAACTTTGTGGATAAGAGGCCCTTTGAAACATCCACAACCTTAACGGACATGTAATTAAAGGCAGGGGTCACTGGCTGGCTGCCTCATTTTCATATCGGTCGCTTAGAGAAAGGAAAATCGACAGGGAGGATGGGTCTTTTAAGGGGTGCTGCTGATGAAATTTTCATGGCCCCTCTCTTTCTTCTTACCTCCAGACTATAATAAATAAATTGAAGACAGAGTCTCAGTGTGCCACCTATGAGTGTCTGCTAAGATATCCTGGTCAATGAAAAGGGTTGAATTTATTTCCATAAAGAAAGCAGAAAGGCACAGGACCTATTTGGATCTGCTTGACATTTCAGTAAAGAGAGAAAGAGGGAAAGGTGAGGGGTAAGGGCGTGAAAATAGCAGTGGCTAACAAAGCATTTCAGCGCACAGCCCCTACCTTCACGGAGACAATGCAATCCCAGGCTGCTGACAAGAGCACACACACGAACTGGCAGGAAACAAAATGCACACTTAAATATCCTTAGTCACTAACCCGACTGGAAGCAGGAACTGAAACCAAAAAAAAAAAAAACTGTTGTACAGTGCTTGCTAACCCTTGATGAGAGCTTCAGCAGCTGATTAGTTGAAAGAAACTCTATTAGATGTATCCTCTAGCTCTAATACATGAGCGATGTCACCGCCGCATGTAAGTGAACGACTCAATCTCTAGTATCCCCATAAAAAGACCTTAAATTAAGATTTTTATCCCTCATTAGGGGGGCATGAAGCCGCTGTCTCATCCTGGGGCCTAGTTAAGTCTTCAGATGTCTGGGCTGCCTGTAAAAGCTGCTGCCTGCCTAATGGCCCTGAAGGACGATGAGTTACTGAAATGAGGAGCTTGAGTGAAACAGTCAACAACCGATGTAAACACTTTCTGTGCACTAAACCTCAATGGCACCTCTTCAAAGTCTGGCTCCCCAGGTCAGACGTTACTGATCAAGCCTGAGCAGTTACTTGAGATCTTTGTTGCTACACCCAATAAAATATTTATGGCTAGTGTTTCAGAAAATGCATCAAGCCTCCAATTTGCCCTGAACTCAAGTTGTTTGATTTACTACATAGGGACTCATTTACTACAGATAGTTTGCAGTAAAGCTAAAGGAATGACAATAGTTTTTTTTTTTTTAATAATATCTTTCCTATTTTTTCTGTAGGAGGAGGAGGAAGCAGACCGAAGAACATACGAAAGGAGAATTGAGCGAATCGAGCCTGTAGGGAGGGCCGACTCTTCGCTGGAGCGTTCACCTGTGTTAAGTCTTGAGTGAGTGCCTTGCCGTCAAATCTCCCTCTGCCCACTCACACCCCACAGAGGGCTTGGAATGTGGGTTGGTTCACTACCTTTTAAAGGTCTTTTTTATGTAATAGGAGCCTCATGTTGTCCAGCCTTGGAGAAACATGTACATGTTGGCTATATTATTATAAAATTTTTCATACCCCTTTAACTCTTTACCCTTTTTCCTGCTTTACAACCACAAACCAGTATTCTATGAACATGTATTGATAAACCAACAAAACATGTGCATAATTGTGAACTAAAAGGATGATTAGACTCCAAAAAGTATTGCATGCATTTGATTCAACATAATTTACTCTGATACCCCTTAAATAAGTGTAGTGCAGCCAAATTCGTTCAGAAGAAACAAATATTCTGTAAAGGTCTCAGGGCTTAAATTTAACAGAGCATTAATGAGCAAAAAGCAGTGTGAAAAGGGCAAAACAGAACAAACTTGTCAGAGGTAAATTTTTAAAGATTTTTCAAGCAGTCAGATTACAAAACAATATCTTAAAGCTTTCAATATTTCACAGAGCAGCTTCAGACATCCACATCTCCATAGTTGGAGAAACTATCAACAGGATACCTTGTAAATTAACATGTCTGGCCTTTATTGAAGACTAGCAAGAACAAAGCAACTCTTTAAAGAGTGCAATAACAGATTTAGGGCAATCCTGGTAGAATGTTAGAAGAAAACTCTTCACAGTGGTAGTACTTCCAATAATTTTCATGTTGTTAGGTAAATATATAACCCACATGCAGAGCAACTCAAGAGACTGAAAGAGATTTCAAGAGTTTATTTACCTGAATGTTGTAAATGAACAACGACCCAGGATCAGATTTGCCAAAGGGATAATATTGGTAGAAATGTCAGCTGGAACGAGTTTCAGATGGTTTGAGATAGTCAATTGCCATAAAGGCTGCTTACAGGTATGTAATGACGATCAGGATCTAGAAAGGTAGTTTTAACTATATTTTTTGAAGCAGCTGTAGGGAAGCCACCAGAATGAGTTTGTGGACTTGAAACAGGAACCTGAGAGCAACAGACTACCAAGGTTCTTCATGTGACTTAACGGTCCTCAGTGGTCAAGTCTTGATACAGGAGCAATGAGGTCAAACATTTTGAGTGTTGCCAGCCACAGTTTGAAACAAGGGAGGCAGTCTTAACATTTGAAAGGTCCAGTCAAAGTACAGTTAATGTCATGATTTTATCTAAGGCTCGGACCCACATGCAGTGAAACCAAACAGAGAGACACGGATGAAAAGTTTGACGGATTTTATTGAAGATGTTAAGCTCGGTGCAGAGTTTATCTGAATTCTGCTCAGCCGAAACTGGAAGATGAGGGGAAGACAGACTATTAGTTCAGGCTCAGTGGGAAATTTGATTCGTTGATCTTGAAGGAGATGATCTGGTTGTTGACTCACATTTCCAAAGAAGTGAAGGATCCTTGACTCCAATCTGTGTGTTGGTTTTCCACTGTATATCTGATTCGTCGGAGGGCGGAACAGGGTTTACCCAGAACTCGGACGGTGTAGGTGAATGGAGACGCTGATTGCCACTCATATTTTCTGCTGTAGTTGAACGGGTCGTGGTGAAGATTATTCCCTTGCTCAGAGAGTAATTTCAACGTCCTCAAAAGGAGACTGGATCCAAACCTCCTGTTTGAATCCCTGGCTCAGTTTAAGACTCAGTTGATCCCTCCTGGGAGAGGAGGTCCAGTTTGCAGGACGACTTCCTGCCGAGAGGCAAAGACAAAAACAAAGATAAAACTCAGGGAGACAAGAACTCAGTCTAACTCAGAGAAAACTCAGCTTGGCTAGAATACCAAAAACTGGCAAACACTCTGGCGTCGAGGTAGTGCCAGCTTAAGAGCACTCCGTTAATGATGTAACTGTCAGCAGGTGTGTGAGGAGGCGAACCTGAACCAGGCGCCTCCTGTTGGTGGAAGGGAGACAACACAAAACAAGCACACAGACAGGAGCCCTGAAAGTTAAAGTATCTGCAGCTGAAGTAAAAGGAATATTTTACAAAGTATTGACTTGGTCAGTCTGAACTCAAATGCATGCGGCACTTTTCATCCAGGTCACAGTAATCCCAAAAAACTTAAAAACCTTAACCAGAGGGGGTGGCTTTCAAAAACCTACGATGCAGCATTAGAGTTGATTCCTTCCCTCTATCATCGCAACCCCTACCGCCATACAGGGGGCCAAAACATCTCGCCTGTTCAGCCAGGCCAACAATTCTCTCTAGTGACCCCCTTTCAAAGACATAGACAGGTATCTGGTATTGCAGGCTAACAAAGAACCCAAACGACTCCCCATTCCTAAGGGGCGGGCCCATTCATCCGGTTCAAATTGCATGTTTTCTAAGCCGAAAAAGGCTTCCTTTTATGTCCACTCTATAAAGCCTCAAACTCAATGCTATTTCTGACATTTTGAATTAAAAAAGCTTCATGAATAAAATAAATGTGCAATAAAATCTGAAGGGGTGTGAATACTTATATATAGCATGCACATATCCGAAAAAAAATTTTCTACCACTTTTTTGTGCAGTTGGTGTTGGGACAGCTCACCATGTAATTTTGGTGAGAAGACTACTACACTACCAATCAGTGCCAAGGTGTTCTTTCATGAACAACCTTCATTGATGGTGGTTCATGTTCATTTGTCTTCATGTCTTTATCTGCAGAGATTAACCTTCTTCTCCAACCCTTCCTCCCTTCCCTTACATGTTTTCAATTAATCGGTTCTTTCTTAGCAGTCTGATCTTAATCACTTAATTGGAGTCTCCATTCGGATCTCTAATTGACCCCTAGGTCCACTTGCCACACTTTGTAATGGATGACTTTGTATACACCAAACAATACAGGTTGTACCAGTATAGCAAAGCAATTTTCCATCCTGTCATTTGCGTTAACCTTTTCTCATGTTACACTGTATTTCCTTTTATACTCTGCATTTGCTTGTCATCCCTATTATTTTTTATTCATGCATGTCTCCTTCTCCCTGTGTATTCATGTCATCCATCAACGTCCTGCAGAAGCATGCTCAAGCCGGTCGAAGTGTCCAATGAAGGAGGGCCCCTGGGGATCCACGTAGTTCCTTTCAGTTCACAGGATGTTAGGTAAAGATGAGAAAAGATAGGAGTTAAAAAAAAGCAAGAGTTTTGTAATATTTATTCCTTCATTGCCTGTTTATTTTGCTTTGTCCGTGTGTTTTTTAATGAATTTCCATAGACCGACCTTGTCAACATGCTTTTTATGTTCAGACAATAGTGACTCTGTGGAGACATTTTTTTGGTGTTGTTTAGCATCAACATCCTTTGCCTCTAACATTATATTATACACATTATTATTATTACCAGAAAAGATTAGCTGCCACAGTTTTTTTTGTTTTTTGGAAAATGTCAAAACAAAATTATGTGTTTGATTTTTTTAACAATGGCGCAATAATGTTATAACTGAATCTCACCTCACTTTGCTGTAGTTCTCTCTCTGTGCTAATGAAGTCTTACATGCTGGCTGCTTGAAACTAGCATTAATGATTTAATTATTCCTAGTTGTTTCAGCTAATAGTCATGTGACCACCTGTGAGGCACTCATTTAGCATCACGTTTTTACCCCATTTACACTACCCTAGCCGAGACCGGTCCGAGCTCAGTAACTGGGATAACTTATCGTGTGTAAATGGAAAGCAAACTGAACTGAACCGAGCTAGACACAACTGAACTGAGATAACTGCAGACCAGTTCCAGAGGTGGGCTCGGCTTGGTTTTTCCCTGGCTCGGTTCTCTGATAACAAGAGCGCATCAGCAGAACGTGTCATCTCCGTCTGGCTGCACATCCCGATTCACACCCCATTCCAGTAGTTGGCGATAATGCCCCTCTGGAAGTTGCTTGCCAACCAACATAAAACAGAAGAAGAAGAACAACTATAAACAACAATCGAAATCTTCTCCACGCAACATTTGAAATAATGGCATTTTAAATAATAACACCGAAGCACAGCAATAATAATCAAGCATAACTTTCTGAATGTGACAGGCGCCACCATTTTGATTTGCTTGATTCCCTCCTCCTTTGTCTTCCTCTTCTTGTGTTTTATGGCGGTTGGCAAACAACTTTTGGTGCATTACCGCCATCAACTGCTTGATTTCCTCCTTCAATACTGGCAGTAATACCGCAGATCTTCACTAGGAGGCGAGGAGTCGAGGAACCGAGATAGCGTGATGATGTAAACCGTCGTCAGAACCGAGCTTGGCCTGGTTGACTGATCCGAGCTCGGACTGGTCTCGGCATGGATCGGTTTTCAAGGGTAGTGTAAATGGGGTATTATGTTTCCAATGTTTAGACCTGTGTATGGAAAATTTGTCCATTTACCCAAATACAAGAATGTATAGAAAAAAAGGCTTATGAACATATTTAAAGTTCTACTTTATAATGTATTCTTGTTTCCTTTCGCAGCTGCATCCGAAGGGATTTAGAGTATTTCCCTATACCTAACTTTTAACTGATGAGTGTTGCTTGTAGAAAGAAAAGAGGAATGCATTTCAGTTTATAGTTTTTCCTAAAAAATAAAGGACATAAGAAAGTATTGAGATGTAATCAAACTAAAAGCCTGTGTAAAACACAGACCCTTGCTGAATGCCAACAGACTGGCCCACCTCCAAGGTGGATGTGACTACTCAGCACTGGTGAAGAAGGACAAGCGGATGAGGGCCACAGACAGAGCATGGAGATGAAATGGGATGACATTTGAGGGGGAGACATTGGCTGTCATTGGGTGCTTGAGACAGTAATCTTGTTGCTGTTTATTAGCAGGTGTCAGGAAGCTATATTTAGCTCTGACTCCTTGTTAAGTCCCCCTATTGCTCTGACACTTTCTCTGAGTCAGAAGGGGCAAGTTACCATTCAGTAAAATTGAAGCATTCAACATAGTGAGAAACGCTGCTTAAATAAAGTACAGATCCGACCCGACAGACTAATTTGTGCAGAATTATCCCTGAAAGCTCCCCTGTATTCCTGTAAAGTCAGGCAGCATTGTGTACAAGGGAGTACTAATGCTGGTTGGCCAGCAAGTCTCCTTTCCATCAGCTTTGCTTGTTACTAATAGCTACCACAGACTTCAATTAAATTCAGCCATAATAAGACTTATGTCTAGCCACTGGGTTGATGCTAATGGGCTGGCCCAGTTCTTTCCTGTTTTTCTGTGTGCTAGGACAGCAGGCATTAAGCTCAGCGAGCTGTCATTAGTGTCTAGACCAGGGCCAGAGGGGTCAGACAGCAAGCAAAAAAAAAAACAGACAGGCAACAAACAAGGAACTGTGGGCACTCCAGCGTCTGTCCGCATTCTGCTCCGCTGCGCTGACATAAAACAAGATCCGAGCAGGAGGGGGAGACAGCTGCAGGAGAGAGCTTAGAGACTCTGTCGCTCCAGCTGACAGTACCTTTCGCATAAACACACATCCAGATGCACTGATCCTCACCTGAAAATGAACCTGGAACCAATCACTTGGGGAGAAATATGGACCTTTAGAATTGTTTTCACAGAGAGACTCTAGCGGCCTTCTTTTCTGGTTCAAACAGTTGGAGCTAAGCACACATGTAGAGCTGCTTTACACCTCCACACACAAACAGCCCTTCTTGATGGATTTTGTGCCTAATGAACTTCTAATACCATGACCAATTTCAATTGTAAACAAATAGAGGACATAATTGCCGTGCATAAATGATCATGATTGGGGTATTATTTGATTAAAGTCAGAAGACGAGAGCAGGTGTTCTCCTTCTGATTAGTTTCTCAACTCTATTGCTGAGCCACAAGATGAAGTAAAGCTGTTCATTTGAGTTTTATGCGGTTTTTCCTAAACAAGGGGCATAACATTAGTAAGATTTAATTTTGAGTTAAATTTGAACTATTTATTTCAGTTCAATTCAGTTTATCAATATAGTGCCAATTCACAACATGAAACACAAGACACTTTACAAATCAACCAGATCATACAGTGAGATTGATTCAAAGTTTCCTATTCAAGGTAAAATCAGTTGATTGCATCGACTTATTGACTTGAAGGCAATCCCTCATACTAAGCATGCTTGTAGCGACAGTGGAGAGGAAAAACTCCCTTGTAACATGAAGAAACCTCCAGCAGAACCAGGCTCAGTGTGAGCGGCCATCTGCAGAGGCTGACTGGAGATACAAAAGGCAACTGTAAACCAGCAAAGGCGTCCAGGAGACACAGAGCCAGGCAGATGAGCTCCAAGCCCGCTCCCATGTCAGAGGATGAAGTGAGCACATTTAGCCAGTCACATTCAGAGAAACAGGTCTACACAGGAAAACAGGCCAAGCTCCAACATCTATAAACAAAGGTGTTGATGGCAGCAGCACAGCTGATATTTCTCTCCAGGATCGAGTCACAGCCAAACAGGACCATTTATGCAACAAAGCTATCAGTAAGACATAAAGATGCAAAGAGGTCACAGTTTAGGGCCCTTAGGAGATGACTTATGATAAATATCATGAATATAAAAGTGCCTAATGTTGCATTTTGTTTTTGCATAAAATTTTTTTCATTTTATAAAGTTAAGCAAATGCAAACAAGATATAACAGTATTATAAAATGGCAGGGACACTAATAAACATGGCCTGTGTGGCCACATTAGTGAGATCCTAAACTTGAGATCAAGGAAAAATACAATTTTTGCCTGCCAGCATAAGCAGCTGATACAGGTGGGACATTTTTAACTGTTTATGGTCATATTTTCAGTGATGCACTGCTATTCACAGAGAAAAGAAGCTCTCTGTGTTTAATCAGCTGAGGTTATTGTTTTTATATTAATTTCACAGGAAATACAACTACAAACATCCAATGTTTCAGCAGACCTATTTATTAAACTTGATAAAATAAAGCATCGTTTTTAAGGAGAGTTAAACAAAAACTGTTTTAAATCCTAAAACTACTGTAGGCCTGTCACAACCATGGATGTTATATTCTCCAAAGAATCATTTTGATAAATGATTATATTGTTGTTTTGAGAACAATTATTAATCTGTATAATTATGAGTTCAAAATAAAGTATAATCCATCATATATCAATGAACTTTCATTTCTTAAGAGCTCTAACACTTGAAGACTTGTTGAATATCCAAACATAAACAAAACAACTGAAAACAATAGAATAAAATTAGGCCAAAATGTCTTTTATCCTGGCAATTTACATTGTTCGTCAAACAATTACAACACTTTTCAAAGTACTGGCTTTTAACTAAATTGAATGAAGCATTTCTAAAAATATGATGCCAAATAGAGTGTCCGTAAGTCTGCATAACTTTTCACTGACCTTTTTGTATTCGGCTTGGCGACTAAACCCTGCAGTGAAATTGGAATGTTGGGAAGACTGAGACAGCATACGGAATACCGGCTTGTCGAGGTTAAGTGGCTCACCACTGTCATTTAGGTTATGAAACATATTCCCGCATTGTTGCTGTTGTGTTCCACTTTAAAAACAACTCAATATTATTTCAAATCTCGAAAACGCTTTCATATTATATACTGTGGTATGAGTATATCCATCCAATGACTGTGGATATTGATGCTGACACTACGCTGAGGAAACCAGAAGGGTTGAGTGGAAAACAATGCACTAGAGAAAAACTGTAAAAAAACAACAAAAAATACAAAGAAGCATGCAAAGGAAAATAATCAACCTGATTTAAATATATTGTGCGAATAATTTTAGTCAAGATAGAACACAACCAGTCCAAAACATGTTGGAATAGTAGGTATTATATATGTACAAAATGAAGAAAGCAGTAATTTTGTTTACACACATTATATGAAAAGGATACAATTGCTTAATACGCTTGAAACCATACAAAATTTGTTAAATCTTATTGTATTGTAATTTGCAGAGATTTTTTTGGGACGAAGTAGAATCAAGTATCAAGAAGGAAGCTATTAGTAAATTAAAATGATCAAAATCTTGTTAAAAAGCTTGCTTGAAGTCCAGTTGATGACAACTAACATATAAGAGGTGGTCATTAAGGCAATTGTGACCAAAATTAAAGCTTCTAGTATACATGCAGAAACCCTGGTGGAAAAAAAAATCCCTCCAACAATTAAACGTAGTAGTGAAGGAGGAGAAAGATAAGGATAGACATTTTTTCTATCTTTGTTTAAAGATGTTTGAGCTTGTTTTCCAGTGTAGTCCTGTTTCTTTAACTGTGACTGACTTGATGTGCTCTCTTCATCCTCTGAGAGGGTGGGAGTTGGCTCGGAGCTCGTCTGCCTGGCTGTGTGTTTCCTGGACGGGGCCACCTGTTACAGCTGCTTTTTGTGTCTCTGCCTATGTCTCCTTGAACCCCAGTCGGCCTCGGTAGATGGCCGCTCACACCGAGCCTGGTTCTGCTGAAGGTTTCTTCCTGTTGTAAGGGAGTTTTTTCTCTCCACTGTCGCTACAAGCATGCTTAGTGTGAGGGATTGCCTTCAAGACAATGAGTCGATGCAACCAACTGGTTTTCCTTAGATAGAAAACTTTGAATCACTTTGACTGTATGATCCTTTTGAATTGCAAAGTGTCTTGAGATGACATGTGTTGCGAATTAACACTATATAAATAAACTTAATTGAATTGATTTATCTATATCAGAGAGGTTTCACTCTTTCTTAATGAAAAAGCAGTTTTGAAAACTATGCACCCTTATCCTTCAACCTCAACACATTTGATTTATGTCATAAGTCTAAATATATAAAGTTAATTAGATCTAAAGAAATATTAATTGAAATTCAGGCAGTAACGTATTTTTAAAAAGCTCTATGATATGTTGGTTAGGTGCTGTGTTTTCCTCTTAAGCCTGCACTGACCTCTCTTCATGGAAATAGCTTAAGCTTTCATCACTCTTTGTTTATTCACCTCCTTTCAGCCTGAAAATTTGCTTCTGGAGTTTCTGAAAATCATTGACAAGATTATAAAAACCATGGAGATGTGAAAGAATCGAGTGGGTTGCTATGGCATACAGCGTAGCAAACACAATAACAGTGTTTATACAAAACCATCTTCCATAAATCTCGACAAGATGCTGCTTTATCCCCTGCATTGCCTGCTGTAGCTGAGAATATGAATCGTGGATCAACTGAAAAGTCCTTTATTTTCCATCTCTAGTCTGTTAGCAGATTAACAGTCATCTGAGTTTGTCCACGCTGTAATCTCTACGGGCGCCTCCTTGTTTTCAAGCTGACAGCACAGAGATAAAGCACAGGCGTCTCTGCTTCAACAGTTCCCGCAATTACTCTGAGCTCAGCAGCCTTAAGATGAGCTGGCAATGCAGGCTCAGACGCTGAGCAGGAGAGGCTAATTTCAATTTATTGCTGAACCATTTACCCCCTCTGATCAGCTGAGATGAGTCTGTGGCGTGAGCGTGGATGTCCACGTTATGCAGCCAATTACGGCAATGTTCTGCAAGTGGTCCTGTTTGGCTCAAATGCTAAAGAGCTCTTTAAATTTACACTTGACTTCCGCAGTAAACAAAGTCGCAACTGAAAAAACGCCGTCTGAAAGCTTGGAGCATTTGGTTTGTCAGCCTCATTTATAACCTTTTAGACGTGTGGTTGATCGTTTTTGCTCCGGTGTATTTCAAAATGTTAGTGTTTTCCTTAATCGGATGTTTCCAAAAAAGAAAAAGTGAGAGCTCAGGTTTTCCGTTCATTTGATGTTAGCTGAATTCTTTGCTACTGTTAAGTGAGCTCACGTTAGAGCCCCTTTTTGCATGCGGTTATCCTTAGGGCCCAGATAAAGCCTGAGGAAGCACACTGATGTATTTATTCCTAGAGGAATGGAGGGAGGAAGTGTTTGAAGGTAAAGGTCTCTTTTGAAGGGATTGCTGAGATGGCACTGCAGTAAAACTCTTTGGATATTTATTTCTTACAGAGTCTCTTGCCTTAAGCTCCAGGGAAGAAAGCTGTAGCATTTCCCTCAAAGTCAAAGATGATCTCATACTTTATGGTTTAGATTATCTCAGCCAACCTGTCCGTCACTCTCTCAGATCTGCACATATAAAGAAAGGCAAAGTGGAGGACAAGCACACACACACAGATGCTCCGAATCAGGTCTCTGCTGCATCATCTCTCTAGGGCACAAGAATATTCAGCTTTTTATCTAATTTTCAAGTATAAATAATATTTTTTTTCTGTCAATTTAGAGCGCTAAAATTACAAAAATTGCACAGCATACTTACTCACATAACTCACAAACCTAAAACTTTTTTTTAAATATGTTTTTTTACATGACATCTATGAAGTTCGATGGATATTTTAAAAATTTAAATGACAAACAAACAGAAAGTAGCCCACGATTTTGAAGAGGAGGAGAGATTCTAAAAGCTGTTTTTTTTTTTTACATTTGAAAGTTGAGTGCATTTGTATACATCCACCCTTACTTTGATTAGCCAGATAAAATGTATCACTTTTTTATCCTATATGCAGATTGTTCTGTGTGTCAAATATAATCACATCACAACATATCTCATGCCATGTAAACATGGGTATCATCCTGTAGGAACAATGAGGGTTAAAAAAGACTGTGTGTGTCTACGGCGATCATTGATTTCTTAATCTTTCATGAGGTATAAAAATAAGAAACTTTATCAGCCAAGGGGAGATATTACAAACATGTCCACCTGCCTGATTACAAACGCAATTTGTAAAAAACAAAAATCCCTTTTTTGGGGTAATTTTTGGAATAGAAAATGTCCTCTTCAATCTCAAATCCTACCAATATAAAACCAAAATAGAACAAGTTTAATAGGTAATACTCAGAAAAAAAAAATGGTAAGAGATCTTGGGTGAATATTTACATTTAAATGTCAACATCCTTTTGAAAATAAATTAATAAAAGATAGAAGAAAAAAAAAAGGTTTGGCAAAATGTCCTAACAAACCACAACAAAGTATGCTTCAGGAGCAAAAATAATCAAATGCAAAGAAAAATATGTAGTAGTTAAAATATATAGGCTCTGTTAGGTTAAAAAATGTAGGTTTGTAAAAGAGAAAGTGAGTCCATACAGGAAAGAGATTCAAACAGCTCCTGCAGGAGTGGAAAGAGCCCAACCCAACTTTCAACTCTTTCACCGACCCCCCTCCTGCAGTCGTCTTTTATTGACAGAACATAACACATGGTTACAAAATAGAGTATTGTTGTGACAGAACAGTTGATCAGGTCATAAGACAGGATGCTCCACCAGCTGTAATCACAAGGCAAAGCGGTCTTCTGACTGAATCACAAGACAGAGTGGATCATCTCCTTGCTCCAATGTTTCATAAGCACACACACATTAACTTTATAATCCTCATTGAATAAACCTAACAGGTTCCAGTAAGGGATCAATGATGGGGGCTCTCAACAGTGTCTGACCGGCGTGCCATCTGACATGGTCACAGCTGCTGACGATTCTTCTGTTTTCAGCCATATTTGATTCATTTGGCTGTTTGTTTGACAGGACCAGCTATAACTGACAGGAATTGATTCAGAAATCTTATACTTGTTACTTTTTTAAGCTACAGAGCCTCTCCTGCTCCTCATCTGCAAAAACCGTCCATTATATTAGTTATTAAGTAATATTTTACACACCCGTACAGAATTTACATCGCAATAATAGGCCTACTTGTTATTTTTTTACTTTCATGTTTATAGATATTTCAACCCAGACAATGTAAGCTATATCTATTATGCTACCCCTTTATTAGTAACGTTCATCTACAGTGCTTTCTGCTTTGGTTTCTCACTTCATATATGATAGAATTTCTCCTGGTTTTTGCACTGTGGATAATAAAAAAATCCTAAAAACAGAGCAAGATGAATGCAAGAACTCTCTGGATCTATGTGGTGCATCTTAAAGGTATAGTGGAGGTTGTTCTTTTTCCGGGTGGATCATCAAATTAAGTGGTCATCCTAATTGTCAATCATTCTGGTGATATGTTTACATAAGGCCGTCCTTACTCGTACCCATTTTCACTTGAGTTTGACAAAGTGGAAAAATTGCAAATCTTCTTTTGGAAAGTAAGCTTGTATGAGCGATGCAAACAGCAACATTTAAACAGAGCGTGCACGAGGAGAATGGGGCTCGTGCATGTTCTCGCACGTGTTTAATAGGCGTTCCCTCTCGGGAGCGGGTACAGGGTTGTGCATGTGCATTTTTCTTTTTTAAGAGGAGAGCGCGGGTCTTTTCATAAATTTGCGGAAATCCTCTACTATACCTCTAAGTAGCAGCTCCATTCTGATTGGTTGATGTTTACATAGCTCACAGCAGCTGTCAATCTAAATATAACACACTGTCAGATATTAATGGCAGGCTATCATTGATCAGAAGATGCAAACGACCGCCAACTTTGAATCTGACTCATGGTTTGGTGGCAGATCTCAGATCAAAGGTTTCTGTATGATTTTCCCACAGTTGTCTTTTGCCTTCGACGGCCAAATAGCGATCTAATCTGTGTGAGGCTGAGGTTTTTTGGGGGAGAAAAAAGCAAAAGATTAACCTCTCCAGCTGTCTTGATAGATATGTTACCCAAAAGACCTGCAGGCTGAATTGCAGCTGGACAATGTTCTACAAAGTATTGATACAGGAGGACAAAGACAGATATATGTTACAGTTAGATTTACCCACTGCTTTGTCTTGGCCTCTCATGGAAAATGTCCTGAGAATACACTGAAGTTTGGGATTTTAACTTAAGAAAATGTGAGAAAAAAATTCAGTTACCACAAATATGTCAGCTTAAGATTGCTCTTATATATTTGTTTGAAGTAAATTAACTTGTATATATCTTTTTATTACCACAAATACATTTAAAGGACATTTATTAGGTATTAATTTGTTATTTGTTCCTTTACAGGACTCAGGGCTTGCTGGTGAAGCGTTTGGAGCCTGGAGGAAAAGCTGAGAAAGAGCGTCTCTTCCAGGAAAACGACTGCATAGTCAGGATTAATCAGGGAGACATTCGCAAACTGCGCTTTGAACAGTAAGCTGTGATGTGCCGCTGATAGTAATGGGGGCGTAACAGTGCAGCAGTGCTCTATGAGTTTTGGTTGTTTTAATTAGTGTTACTAATTTCAAATACTTTCCCCTCCTTTTTAATCAGGCTTATTTTTTTCTACCTCCAAATCTCTGTAACACACCCCTTCATTTTTATCCAGAATTTTCGTGGCTGATAAGCTGTGAAATGTTGGACGCGGCATGAAGCAGCATTCAATTGCATTGCTGTTGAAAAGTACAATGCAGACTCACCCAGCTACACTGTAAAACAGAGATATCACTGACCTACTGTAATGGCTCCCATTGACCTGCAGTGCTCTAGCACCTATTTGCCCTCTGATCTAACACTGCCCACATTCTCCTCTGGATCTATTTTCTAGCGACTCATTTCCTAAAGTGGGATGAAGATGTAAGGCTGGCACTCCTCCACTTCCATTTATCCAAAGCCACCTTCACTGCCTCTAACACAAGGCTGTATATGTGGACTCACATACTTAAACTTGTGCTGACACACTGATTCAGTGACACTGAACTGGATTGTGGGGCCGCTGAACACTGGCTGTGTCCTTGGCTTTTCTTCTCATCGTCTGTTTCTTCTCACAATCCAGTAGAACAGATTTCTGCTAATGAAAGCCAAACTGTAGGCTGGTTTAGGACTCTGAATGGTTCTAAAAAAATATATATAATATGGTACTTGAATCACTGCCAAGATAATAATGTATTACACTTGTTACTTTGATATTAAGTGGTCTATCAACAGTGTTCTGCAGAATATTGTTCATTAAACTTTTTTCCATTATGTTGAGTTCCAACCACAGAACCAAGTTGAGTTGTAATGTAATACATTGATGCAAAGTATAATACAGAGGAAGGAAAACACCCCCTAGTTAACATATTTTAACCCCACCATACATGTAAAACCCTGTTAACTAAAACGAGAATGATTTTTTGTTTCCATTAAGAAAAATAACGCAATACCATTGTAATGTATTAATTAATTTGAAATTGAAGAGGTCACCACATAAATCAATGTTATCTTTTTTTGCTATACACCCTGCTAATCTGTCCTTAATGGAAGACTGGCGAGGTGAGTTGGATTATTGAAAGAAAGCCATAAGAAATCCAACTTTAATGTTTGTCACAAGTCAGTTAAAAACATGGCAGAAGGTCTTCCGACATTTCTACAACATTAAAGATTGGGTCACCAAATTTCCCTGTGGGGAAAATATAAGCAGTTGCAGCATCATGCTGTGGGAATATTTTCTTCAGCATTGGCAGTGAAAGTGGTCAGAACTACTGGTTAAAGGGGATGTAGCTCAATACAGGGAAATCCTGAAGGAAAACCTGTTAGGGCGGGCATATGCACACTACGATATTTTCAATCTTTGTATTCAACTAGAGCTCAAAATGTACGACCAAACAGCAGGGTTTAAAAGTTCTCAGCTTACGATGCATGATCTTATACTGAAGCTCTGATGTGATCTATGGCGTAAGGTGCAAGAAGATTGTCAGTTTGAGCCCCGGCTCTGGCTTTTCAGTGTCATTGTGTCCTTGTGCAAGACACTTCACCTGCATTTCCTACTGATGGTGGTCAGAGGGCCCGTTGGCACCAGTGTAAGGAAGCCTAGCGTATGTCAGTGAGTCGCTGGGCAGCTGTGGCTACAAAGTAGCTAGTCTCCTGACTTGAAAAAACCCTATATAAGTGCAGGCCATCTAACTGGTCCCACTGGTCAACCAAAACACACACCTCGTGCATAGCAAGGAGGGGTTAAAAGGAGCTATGGTGTTGGTCAGACTTCAATCTGGAAGCCAAACGTAGACAGTAGAAGAACTACTGCCTTGTTTGTACATGCCCAGTGCACATGGTTCTGGTTAATCGGCTCGTAGACACTCAAAGCTCTGCCTAAACAGCACAAACACCTCACAAGGGCTGACTGAATTTCAAACATGTTTGATATTCTCCCAACCTTGTGATTCCTGATTGGGAGTTGGTCGTAATTGGCTGAGAATCAGCCCGAAAAGGTCAAAAGCTCATACAGTGTATGAGAGCCTTAGTTACCTGAATCTTCAGCAGGGGACTCAAAACTGAGTGGACACTCTAAAGAGTCTGAAAGAACTTTGGCTTATTGGCAAAGAGGAAAATAAGCTATAACATTTCAAAGCAGATGGAGACATATTTCAAACCAAATCAACCAGGGAATCCTGTTTTGTACCACCTACACCCCCCACCCTCCCATAGACCTCACAGGCCTTTGGTCTTGGTTAGATTTGAATAGAAATAAAGTGATGGAGGTAAGCTACCTCCCCTCTCTGCACCTCCTGGATCTTCCATGATTATGTTCCACAGAGAGTGACAATTCAAAGTGATAGTCTAATCTTCTAGGATTGTTTTGCATGGGTAAATATTTTGAGGAGCTTAATCTGACTGAATGTAATGATGCATTGATGGGGTAATTTATTATTTAATCAGGCTCGCACAGAGGTTGATTACCAGAGTGATGGTGGTGTATATTTGCATGTGGGAACCCTTGGATAAAAACACATGCATATATACGCACAATCGAGTACACACCTACTTATCCAGACATCAATGTGAGTTTGTGACTGATTTTTGTAAATTACCATAAGAATAAAGACGTGAGAGCCGAAATCCTGCAGAATAGGCTAGGTACTGCATTTAGGACTTGGCTTTGTAACATTACTTCCATTAAGGGCTAAATGCATTGTTAGCTGTTGTTATTTAGACACATTGTTGGTTTTGTTAAGGAAGATCTAAAAATATGAGTTCAAACATCAAATCAAGCCTCTACCTCTCTTTGTCAATGCTTTGGTCTTTCCAGAGTAGAATTGATTTACAATGGCTCGTAAAAGCTTTTTAATAGTTTATGGTGCTATAAACCAAAACAAGTTACATATTCTATTTAGTAAACAGACTGAACATGAATTGAGCCTTCCTGGTCTTATCAAACAGAATACTTTATAATACAGGTTTCTTTCTTCTAGACAGCATGGAGTTAGGTACCCTGTTTAAGGGAATAACCGCTGTGTCTTATAAGTGGCTGGAATCAAACCCCAACTTTCCTAATGCAAGCCTAGCCTAGCTTAGAAATCATCCACCCATTTGTTGACCATGATTTTTCCTCTTCTTCACTCATTCAATGCGAGGAATCAAACAGACTAATACTTAATTTTGAAGTTTAATTAAAAAAAAAAACAGTATCAGGTTTTAAAAAATGTAAATCTAAATAAAAATCTGAAAAATGTGTTGTGCATTCGATGTAAACTGGCTCAAGATGACTCGCAGGCAGAGGTGGAAAGAGTACTAAAAAATTGTAATTGAGTAAAAGTATCTTTACTTTGCCTAAATTTTACTCAGAGTAAAAGTACAATTACCCATCTCAAAATTTACTCAAGTAAAAGTACAAAATTACTTCATTTAAAATGTAATTTGAGTAAAAGTTACTTAGTTACTTTGAGTTATTTAATGCAAAAAGGATGAGTCATGAATTGAATTGACCACAAGGTGTTTTAATCGATTTTAAGGCGTATTTCAGTGGACATCCATACTTGCAAAAGATCAGCTGGGCTAAGGAACATACTTCCTCACAGCACAAGGACAGTCACAACCTGAACCATAAAGTGCAAACAATTTTCAATCCTACTGTCCAACAGACAACACCATGATAGGTAAAGTTTTCAAAATGCACACAAAATTAAATGCCCAAAAGATACCAGAAATCAAACTAAAACGCAACAGGATCCCACTGTTATTAACAAGCTCCTCATTTAATGATTTTAACTGACACTTATTTTACTTTAATAGCGATTTTTAACTGACACTTGTTTTTACATCAATTGCTTATATGTTTGAATTGTGTAAATAAAGTGCAGTTAAAAGTCAAAAGTCTTCTTCTATTTTTGAATGGCGATTATGTGTCGGTTCCGTGACACAGGGGTTTAAATTTCCGGCCGCATTTAATTTTTTCACTGTCTACAAATGTAGCGAAGCAAAACTACTTAGGTTAAAATTTACTAGAGTAAAGGTAAAAATTACATATTTCAAAAACTACTCAGAAAATTACTCATAAAAAGTACTCAGTTACAGTAACGTGAGTAAATGTAATTTGTTACTTTCCACCCCTGCTCGCAGGGGTGGAAAGTAACAAATTAACAAATTGTGATGTGATTTACTTTGTTAAAGGCTGCAAGTAAACTTGAGGAGGTCTCTCACAGCTTTGAAACATGTCCTGACTGAGTTTGTCCCTGTTCTCTCTCAGATTTTAATGGAAAACCTTCAAATTGTAGTATTTAAGTCTCACCTCAAGTGAAATCTTGATTGCTTATCCTTTATAACTGTATTGGATTCACTATTCATAAAGCAAGTAGATCTCCTACTTAAGGCTCTCACAGGTGTTTTAACAGAATGTCTTTCCCCCCAAAAAACACCCTCACATCTTGATACTCCCACCACCATGCTGTTCTGTACTGATCATATTTTAAGGCTGATTTACATTATTAGCTTTCCACTGAGCGTTTTTTATGTAGGCTCTTCAGTGTGTTTGCTGTGTTCCCTACATCACTCTTGGAAAATTGACAATATGGGTGCTTTGCTTCCTTCTAACAAAGACTTTTCTTGTCCCTCTATGATAGACAAGAGATATTGCTAATAAACCTGACTAAATGATTACTTTTGTCTGGAAAATTGAGCTTTTGTCTGAACTCATTTGATTCATCTCACTTGGGATGATTTGGGTGTGGCTGTATGATGCATGCTTGTTTGTGTTACAGTTTATTTTCTAAAGAGCCTCTACAGTATTCTGTGTGAGTCTTTTACTCAAATCACACAAAGACTCACAAACACACATTATAAAGTGGAAGTTTCCTTGGAAAGTTTAAACAGACAGAATAGTAGCTAATCACTTATTCATGATGTGCTGTTTGTGCAGCATGTAGTAATGCTGGCTATTTCATATAATGTGAAGTTTGTCTGCTATATTAATGACTATATGTATTTAGTAGTGTACCTTTAGCTCTCTATATCCCCATTTAACTCAGCAGAATGCAGCTTTCCCCATGTATGGTATATAGGTATGTTTCTAATGATATCACCCTCTCATCTTCCTCTTTTTCCAGAGCTCAGAACATTTTCAGGCAGGCGATGCGTTGCCAACGCATTCTTTTCCATGTGGTGCCTGCGTCCATGAAGAGGCACTATGATGTACTTGCGGCTCAGAACGAGCTTAGTCCACCCCAGTCTCACAGGGTCCGCTTTAGCCAAGACCCCCAGCAACCAGGGGACCGGACAAGTATGGGTGCAGGGATGCCACCCACATCTGGACAGCAAAGCATCAATCACAAGTGAGTCTGACGTCGAGTTTTAATCAGAGTTGATATATTGATTACTTTTGTCAATGAAAATGTTTCTTTTTGTTTTACAATTCAAATACACGTCAATCCGATCATAAAATGTTTTATGCGTAAACACAGCTATAGATCTATTATTATAAATGGGTAAAACATATTGTGTTTCTCACATTCTCGGTTCTGCATCTAAAATCTATGAAATTGACTGCAAGATGCAATGTTTTTAGTGCAAAGTTAGACAACAAAAATAATATAATAGGATGAAAAAAAAAAAAAAACCAATGAGTAGAAAAAAATCTATTCATCTGGTCACTTTAATTTCCTCAATTCATCCTCAATCATTCTCCGGTTGATCTGTCACTGCTGCTTCTTTCCTTCGTTGGCAGAAAAACTTTAAACTTTGTCTTTTTCCTGCAGTCATCAAGGTCCCCTGTCAGGAAGCACCCCAGAACCAAGTCGGCGGTATGCCACTTTACCGCATGCCTTACCTCACCCCTTAATCTCCAGGACCCCATCAGCGCCTTCTCCCTCCTTGCAGCGTCGAATAAGCACAACCCCAACCAACAACTTCTACCAAAAGAAAAAGGGACGCAGCTTCAACATCCAGCTAAAGAAAGGTAATAAAGCAGGGTTGACTCCACTTGTTGTTTGTTTGCATGTTTAGTGGTAAATAGTGAACACAAATCCAATCACAAGCTTTCAGACCATCTGTACATCTCAATAAAATTAATATCTTATCTCATTTCCAGCTTTCATTCTTTTAAAGATAGCTAGTCATCAGATAAAATGATGAAGTCAAGTTCCAACCCCAAGCTGTTTGCAGCAAAGTGAATAGAAGTCAAATGACCTGGCTGCTGGTAGCCAACATCTGATCCAGTTAACCCTATATTTTGGATCATGAACCCATTTTTTGTCTTTTCCAACGCTTTTTTAAGAGGTTTGATTTATTTTGTGAGACATTGAAGAAAACTACTTTTGTTCTTTGTCTTTAGAACTTTAGTTGGAAAATTAAAGCCATCTAAAAAGAAGAAATTTGCTTAATCTAGCCTTAAACGTTGTCATGATTATCGTCAATGATCTGATCATCATCTGTGAAGGCGTGGGGTCGCTGTAGAAATAACTCATTTAATGATCTCATTTTAAACCAGCAACAAAACTGGCAGATTTTATGTTTCACATTTCTTGATCTCAACATCACTGGCTTAAAAACCAAAAATAATTCAGCCTTCAAAGCAAATAAAAAAAACTCTTTTTCTTCCTTCCTAATTCAAAATAAACAAATTGTTAATTAATACATACCAAACTAAGTAGAATGGACTTTTTCTAGAGCCATTTAAAGTCAATTAGTCCTTGTTTTTCTAAGATGGGCCAAAGAATCAGAATCAAAATTACTTTATTACTTTGCAGGATGTTTTCCTCTTGCAGTGCAACCAGTTACAAAAGTACACTGCAAAAACGATCGAGAAATAAGTAAAAATTTCTTAAATTAAGTGTATTCACCCTTAATTTGAGCAGGTAAATGAGATAGTTTGCCAATAGAATGAGTATTTTTACTCTTAAAATAAGATAATTAGATAATATGCACTTGAAATAAGACAATGCAGTTGTGTTTTCTTATTTTAAGTGTAAATTTTCTTGTGCCATTGGCAAAATGTCTCTTTTACCTCCTCTATTCAAGAACAAATGCACTTATTTTAAGAACAAATGACTTATCTAGATTCATTTTTTTGCAATGTACAATAGAGCAAAATAAAATGTGATATAATAACACAGAATAAAATAAGTAAAATTACAACCCAAACAGTATAATTAAACCCTTCCCATATAAACTGTGTAAAATAAGATAAGAAGAAGATAAAATAAGGATCTTAGATTATGCTCTCTATACCATGTAACCTAAGTTACATCACTGAATTTGAAATATTAGGTTTCTGCAGAAAGTTTTTGAGACCTCAGATACTAAAAAGAAAACTTCATAAATCAGTTGAATCAGCTCTTTCTATTTATCTGCGTTCACTAACATTTAGTCTGTAAGTGAAGCAGTGTTGAGGTGACATGCCCCTGCCAGTTCTCCTCCTCTCTGCCTCTGTGTATGTTCACTCTTATGAGCAGATGTTTAGCCGGAAGCTGGAAAATAGACCGGCTGCAGTGAGCTTCTGGGAATTGTACAGCGGTAGGGGCAACAGTTCCAAATAAATGCAACAAACCTGAGGGAAATGAAGTCACAAACTGCTCTAATATGTTTGGCAAGGATTTCTGAGTATTGCCAGCTTACTTTGTAGGCAGTGGGAGGGATGTTGTATTTGTTATACAGTGACATGCTTTTTTGGCTTGTTTTGTATAAAAATAACTTCTTATTTTAGGAATCCCAAGTTGGGATAATAAACAAAATAGTTTGTATTCTGTAGGCTCACAGATTGAAATTGTAAATTATGGTTGTTGATGGCCAAAAGTGGTCACACTCATGGTTTAATCGGAACTTAATCGAATGGAAAAGCCTCCATTGTAAACTCACAGCTACGGCTAAGTTTAGCTAAAAACTGATTATTGCCCAAATGTTATTGTGTCAGAAAAATTTCGAAACATGTAAATTCACTGGGTTGGAGGAGCTGGGAAATGCAGCCCAGAAATCCATTTTGACATTTTCATTTAATTGCCGACAGACTTTCTCACTACTAATGCTCTTTTAGATGGGCTGTGGCAGTTTTGTTGTCGACTGGATGTAATTGTTGTGATTCAGTCTAAGTGGCTCAGAGTTCCAAGTGGCAGGAGCAGATCTTGAATGGCACATTAACAAGAGTGCCCTAATCAAATACTTCTGTTGAAAACAACATACGCGCCCCATTAAGCCTTTGTCATGTCCGCCAGCCTCTCCTCATGTTTGCTGTTTAATTGGCTTATTGGAGCCAGGATTCTAACTAATCTAGAAGGGGATACAATTACTTTTATCCTGGTCTTCTATTACCCAAAATAAAGACGTCAGTGGTTAATTACGAAAGGCCTATTAGAGATGTATTCTCCTAATTGCCTGATTGGACCATTAATGACAGTATCTACTGATGGAGACAGGAGTTTGATTCTGTTCATTAGGCTGCGTCTTGGAACATGGATGGAAGGAGGATCAGAGTAGGAAGCACAGCAAGGACTTGTATATGCAAGTTTGGAAAGAGATAAGAAACTTACACATGCTCATCATGTCAATCATTTTTTTTATTAATTTTTTTTTTCTTTTACCAAAGAAGATATAAAACACCCTACATCCCCACTAATATTTGGATAAATGTAGTTTTAATAATTTTTTTGCTTGTTTGTTTTTAACCTCTTACACCCTCAGGGGGTATAAATAAATTTCTGCCTGACAAAAACACACAAAAGTAAATCACTTATAGCCTCACAGCTATTAGATTTAAGAAGAAACTTTTGGTACCTCTGTAAAGGTAAGATGTCATAGAATGGTTTTCTGGTGTCAGCGCCATTGTAGCTTTGACCCTGCCTGAAATATTAGGGACAAAATACAAAATATTTTGCATTTTTTGAACCTCGCCAAAATTTTCTTTAAAATAAACATTGCAAAACACTGCCAAAATATTATTTATAGCACACAAAAGTAGTACAGACTTTTAAGTCTAAATGTTGTGTTAAAATATACCAAATTTGGACTCAATCAGATGAATCATATTTATTTTAGAAAGGTATTAGTGAGAAATTTCTTAGGCGGAGAGGCCATTTTGGCACATTTATCCAAAAATGTCACCAAACTGTGCCAAATGTGTTTTTTACATCAATACTGGGGGTTTGTTAAAATTACGAGGTCACGTAGCAGCTGGACCCACCGGTGGGTCCGTAGGGTTCTAGGGGTTAAGATATTTGATCACCTGTTGTGGGTTAAAGCTACAGTGTGTAATAATTACAGGGATATACAGTCAGAAATGTAATATATTATACATAACTATGTTATTTATCATCATCTATGAGCTCAGCCTCTAACCTTAATATTTGCGTTGCCTTAGAATTCGTTATTTATAATTACATAGGAGCGGGTCTCGCAGCCATGGAGGCAGACATCTACGGCAGCGCAGAGCCAACAAACTAGCGATTGTGAGATTGCCCATTACGCTCGAAAGTAACTACGGCAAGTTGAGAGAGATGAACTGAGACGGTACTGAACACACAGACTAATGAAATACTATCTGTAAAATTATCTATGTAAACAAACCTCATCACTTGAGAAGGTAGGTGATGCGGGGGGGGGGGGGGGGGGGGGGTATTCATGTTGCTGCGGTCTGCAGTCTGGACGTTAGATGTCGCTAAAAATTACACACTGTAGCTTTAAACAGTAAAGTTCAAATAAATTGGTTTATCTCTACACAAGTAACAATGTGTTTTGGTAATTGTCATGTTAACCATCTAATCTTATCCAGGTTTCAAATATTTATCATTAATTTGTGAAAGAAGAATTCATTTATTTATTCATCAGTTTTATAGGCTTTTTAAAAGTCCAGTAGTGTGATCTTATCACCAACATTCCTGAGAGCTGGTTTATTGGTCTTTTAATTGTACTTTTGGTTATTGTATCCAAACAGTTTAATATTCAGCCCCGTCAGAACCCATTTTCTGTCACTGTGTGGTTGTTTTTTTTTTTTATATGAAGGGAAAATAAAATTAATCCCATTGCTGTTATATCCCAAACTCCCTTTAATGGGTAGTTTTATACACGTTTTTATTTGACATGTATAAAATAAACCCACTCACTGGTTAATTTTTGAGACAGAAACCCAGATTCCACCTCTGCGCTTTGCACATTTCTTGCAATGTTGCCTTGGTTTCTTTAAAGCGAAATTGAATTCACTTCCTCTATGTGAGCTTATAAAATGAGCTGTTTTATGAAGCAGATTTTTTGGTTTTGTTTTGATTTTAGGCTTTTGACTGAACTATTTACCAAAGGGAATTTGGCTACAAATCTCAGTCAAGCTGGTAGAGACTGATTTTGAAACGGATATTTCCTTCTTGGTCAGCAGCTGATAACTCAAGCCCACACATAAAGAGACAACTGAGGCTAGGGACCCCAAAAGATCTTAAACACACAGGGGAGGGAGTCTCTGCTGAATTGCTAGACCTGTCAACACCTGCCAGGAGCGGCAGGGGGCCAGAGAAGAGAGCACAGCGGTCCTTAGCCCAGCCTCACATCAGTGCTGGCATCCTCAGCATCCCCACACCTTCCCAGGGCAGCACCCATATGCACAGTCAGTGTAGTAACAGTGAGCCCCTGATATTAGCATCTTATAGGTAAAATTTTTAATATTTACTCATGTATTTTTATCTTGAATTTTGTGTTTTCAGCAAATTTTCCTTGTCTATCAGTTCTGAACTTTAGATTTTGTATTTTTTTTTTTTTTCATTAAATCTGCAAGAAACCACTCCAGCTTCCGTTCTTGCATTTGGGTCCTCTAAAAACCTCAGAACAACCTGACGAAAGGTATATGATGTATTCAACCCTAAAATGCATCCTTTAAATCCCTAAATGTATAACCCATTTATACAGGTAATAAAGGTTTCATATGTTTATTTCACAAAGAATCTGCAAGATCTGTTTAAATTATAAATTGTTGGATCAAGATGCTTTGTAATAATCTGGCAATGAAGAGAAAGCTATGAATTCACATTTGAGTTTGAAAAAGGAGCTGCTCACATTTACTTTTTTAAGTAACTAAAATGCTTAACGGGCCCCTAATAAGACAAACTTCTGTAGTAACTATACGAACAACCTTGCATTAAAAGTTTAGCAGTCATGAAGACAAACTGCATATTTAATGTTCGGCATAAATGATGACAGTCTGCTCAGTTATCATGGTGCTCTGATGGAGAGATCAGAAAGCATCATTATCCTCAACAGCTCCACTTTCTATCTCCATAAGCAATCTCTTTACCCTTCTACAAGTTTGTTTGCATGAAGGAGTCAGGAAAAAGTTGTCATCCTCGTAGCGTTCCTTTTTCATCACCTCATCACTGTCAGGAGGCTGACAGACAGATCGACAGCCTGCCTGAGAGACACATGGGGGAAAGTAGGTCATGATGAACTATCAGAGGTGCTGACTGCTCTGTGAAATGAGCAGCTAGTTTGACATGAATACTAATCACTGCTGTTACCGTTTGAAAAGCCTCAGCTGAAAACCGTGTAACGTAACTTTCCAACCAGTCCGCTAAAAACACGCAGCATAGTTAGTCCTATAGGACTTTTAACCATCTTTCTGATCACACTGATTAATTAATTTTCCATTGAGGCTGTTAAATTTTTTAATGCTATATCAAAGAAATTTCAAACTTGATTTACTTTCAACCATCTTGCCATTATTTAGAAGAAGCCAGTGGTATCTAATTAGCAGAGGTTATATATTCGCCCACTCTTTATCAGAAAAAATATGTTTAAATGTCGAAAGTCAACCAGTTCAAAAATAAAACCTCTTTAGTTTATCAAACTAATCTTAGGCCAAGATAATGTTAGTAAACAGGAACGTAATAGATATTCAGTTTTATTGAAAGGGGTAAAATCCCAAACACACCAGCACCTATGTTAAAGGTATACTATGCAACCGGTGTTGATTTTCCAGCGAGGCTCCCCCCAGAGGGCGAAAGTAAAAGTGCACTGTCGTAAATATGCACAGCTGTTCTCCTGGTTTCTCCGTCAAGCCAGGCGCGGTTGTTTTGAGCTTAGCAGACAGGCGAATGCAACGAATGACTAACACAGTGAAAGTATGAACATGCATACAGAGAGAGAGAAACCATTCCAATGTTACTTACAATCGCATCAGCAGAAACGCGAGGTCTGCCTTGCAGCCTTCTTTTTATTTTAGCTCTCGCCATTCGGAAAAAGCTTGCCCGATGTTCACCCGTGTACGACTCCTCTCTCTGTCCAGAGCCCTTTTCCTCTTTCTTGCCTGCTCCGACATGGGCTTTCGCTGTTTCCTCGCTGGTTCCGCCATTATAACTGCAGAAATATCGCCACTGTGCTAGCAACGAGCATGCTTTTAACTGGGGGCGTGTAGCAGTTCTCGCCGTAAAGCAAGACTGACTCTCGCGAGACTTCTGAGCCTGTGGGTGTGGGCCGAGGGCTTCTGCAATTGCAAGTACGGTATTTCCCCCACAGACCACCAGGGCGGCCGAGAATACCTTTGTTCAACCATAAATGACTCATTTAATCATCCAAAACGTTATGGAACACATTAATTAACTGAAAAATGTTGCATAGTGTGCCTTTAAGAAGGGATTGCCACTCTTCTAAAGGTGATTATAATTGTTTAAGTAAGCAATTTGTACTTTACAACATGTTGCAACACACTTCTCAAAATGCTTTACCAAATGGTCGGTTAACAAGTACATTTTCATTCATTTCAAATTGATCATATTCGTAAAACGATGCATTTAGTTTAGCTTATAATAGGAATTGGTGGAAGGTTTTTTTTTTGTCTGAGGAAATGCTGCAGAATGCATAGAGTCAGTGACTTGCAGTATTCTTTCCTCTTGGATTAACATACAAATACAGTGGAGAGTCGCTTTCATTATGTTGTTAATATTCCAGCAAGCATTCCCTTACATTGATAATGCATGTGACAACACTGCTATCCAAAGGGGCTAACCGGGCTTACCAAATCCTGATCTGGTTATCCTGAAGAATCACCTAACAATTTAAAACGTTTGATTAAAAAAGGCTTAACAATTTTAAAAAGCAGCACATTATAGATCATTGTTACAACTTCAAAACTTTAGTAAATCACAAAACAAAAGAACAATTAAGAACCAACAATGTCTGAAGCCCAACAGGCCTCTGTCAGAGTCAGAGTTTAACATTTGACAATACAAGACTGCTCTAAAAAGACAATCTATTGGAGAGACCCAAAGCACAAAGCACTGCTTACTGAACAACACCCTCAAACAGGAATTCAAAGATATAACCCAGAACACAGACGAGACAAACGTTAAATAATTGCAATATGTGGAACCCATAGCATGTGGTGTTAAAAGTGATAGAGCACTACAACGAAGAAGAACGTGTAAGGCCGCTTTTGAGGATCTACTTCTGTCTATTTCTCATGTTTTCTATTATTTTATTTTGTTTTGTGTTCTTCTGTCTTACCAGGCGCAGAGGGTCTTGGATTCAGCATCACGTCCAGAGATGTCCCTATTGGTGGAAGTGCTCCTATTTACATTAAAAACATTCTTCCTCGAGGGGCTGCCATCCAAGATGGACGACTGAAAGCTGGAGACCGGCTGTTGGAGGTAAAGCAGGGCTTTTGAATCATCTCTATCCATTTTGTTCAGACAATGGGGCGACAGTGGCGTTGGATGTAGGAGTTTGCCCTGAAATCGAAGGGTTGACGGTTCAAGCCCCGACTCCGATTTTCAGTGTCGTTGTGTCCTTGGGCAAGACACTTCACCTGCATTGTCTACTGATGGTGGTCAGAGCGCCAGTGTACGGCAGCCCCGCTTCTGTCAGTGAGCCCCAGGGCAGCTGTGGCTACAATGTAGCTTGCCACCGTCAGTGTGAGTGTGTGCGTGAATGGGTGAATGAATGTAGTGTAAAGCGCTTTGGTCAAGTCTCCTAACTTGAATAAAGGTGCTATATAAGTACATACCATTTACTATTTTTTCAGGAACAATATATATTATGTATTTTTATCCATATTTAAACGTTGAGTAGTTTTTTTGTTGGAGCAAAAATCTCTGTGACCCTTTTAAGATGAACAATGTTTAGATCCTGAATCTGATCGATGGTGATGCTAAAGTAGAAAACATCTTTCATTCCCCCTTAAGATGACTGTGGGGAAAGGATCATGTTATGTTTAGGTGAGCATCTTGTCATTCTTAAGTTTGCTCTTTGTGATTGCTGAACATTTCGCCTCCAGGTTAGTGGGGTGGACCTGAATGGAAAGAGTCAGGAGGAAGTGGTGGCCCTACTTAGAGCTACCCCCATGGATGCGATGGTGAACTTGCTGGTGCTTCGTCAGGAGGACCCCATACTGCCTCGAGAAGTGGTCAGTACTGTACTACACTCTCAGCTTATGGGTTTCTCTGCTGGTTTAACATTTAGATATATGGATATATTTTTAAATGTTATAGTGGGAAGAAAAAGTATTCAACCTTTTGTTCCAGTTAAATAAACAAGAGATTGATGGATTTCACTCAGTCTGCACTTTATTTTTATCTTTGCAAAGAGAGAACAATTCATCATACGACCGTTATATCACAGTAATCAGCCCTGTTCTGCCTGGGCAGCATTCGTTCCCCCTTACTTACAATAATGGAAAGTTGTCAGAGTCAAAAGAAATTACAGACGCTTTGGTTAAACAGTAACATGTTATGAATAAACTTTGAGAATGAATCTGGTTTGTTATGGGAAAAAGGCATGTCTTGTCTAAAAACACACCCTCACACAGGGGAATTGTGTGGCCTTGCAGGTGAAACAGGCTGAGTGAAAACTTTCATAGTGAGTTAATAGCATAAATTATTATATGAAATAGGAGAAACTAAAATTTCTGACTACACTGTTGATAAAAAAAAAATTTAATTGAAGTTTGAATGTCAGCTATAATATAGTTTCCAATTTGGAACTGTTTTATTTAATGATTTTTCTGTTTTTCATCGTAGCAACTGCATAGTCTGTCTAATGTTTTACTTATTTATAAGGTCAGTACATGTCTGCAGTACAAGTGCAATAAGTCAAGTGAACTACTCCCTTAGCTCTCTGCTGTGCAGATATTTTTATATCTAAAGGAAACATATTCCACAACATTACATTTTTTTTGTACTCTTTTTATATCATCTGTTGTATTTTTATCTTTAATGGCATCTTGCTTTAACTGTTTGTACTTAATATAAGCTACTGGAACCAGAATTTTCCTGAAGGAGTAATCCCAACGGATAAATAAAGTTGAGTCAAAGTCTGAGTCTAAGTCTAAACATCCTGTTGCCTCCTGTGAGGTTTGACATCACTACTATTTATTTCACATGAAGGCCACTTAAAACCATTCAAATGGCCAAATTTCTTAGTGTACTGCAAACAAACTCTGCAACGGTGATAGTTGTATTATTTATATTCAAATGATTGCTGGAATTTATAAAATCCCTTTATTGTCCTTCAATGGGGGAATTGTGGTTTAACAGTAGCAGAATCATTACAAAAAAGTGGTCACACAATGTGCGCCTTAAAAGTGTATAGAAATAACAGAATAAGTGACGAAGCTTAAAAATAAACCAAATAAAATTCTGTACTGTACAGTGTTTTTGCAAATATAAATACTGTGCAGTCACCCAAAGAATAAGTAATCAATATAACGCTGTGGATAAAACAGGGTTCCCGCGGGTCCTTAAAAAGTCTTAAAAGGCATTGAATTCTTCAAAATAAAACTAAGGCCTTAATTGGTATTAAAATGTCTTAAATCCGTCTTTCGTAGGTCTTAATTTTTAAAACATCATAAATAGGATTATTTTTATTATGATTTATTTTTGTAATCTAAATAAAACATTAAAATTTACTTTTTTTTTTATTTAAAAAAATGATGGCTCGCCATTATTGGTTCCATCCCGATAGCGGAACCAATAAAAGCGTTGTTGCGGCCGGAACATTTGGGAGATGCACCATTAACTTTTTGTCTGGAAAATATGAGCAAGTGTAAATGTAACCAAAGTTCTCTATCCAGCCAAGAGTTTTCTCCATGGCTAAAACCAGTACCAGGGAAAATACATGAGGCACAGTTTATTTTGTGCAAGAAGCGATTCAAGCTCGGAACGATGGGAATTAAGGCAGTGGAGTCACATGCAAAGTGCGAAAAACAAAGCGTCAAAATGGAGTTACCGAGAAACAGCCGATATTTCTCAGTTTTGTTCCACCCTTGTCTCTGCAACGCCTCCACTTATCACCAAATCAAACATACTAAAAAAACAATACAAAGAAAAATAGCTGCAAAAAAGACTTGGTTATGTTGTGGCTTTAAAACTGATTTGTTTTGTTCCCTGCTAAAACAAAGTTTGTGAATTCAGTTAAATAGTTGTTAAAATATATCTGTCATTTGTGTGTTTTTAGCTTTCTTCCTGTATGGGAAACTTTTCAAAATTTTAAACATTAGTGCAGTGGTTTATGTTAAAATAAACCTTAGGGTTAAGTTGTCTCAAGCGGGTTTTTCTTGTGTTTCTTGGTCTTAAATTTTCATTTCAACTGTCATTAAAAAGTCTTAAAAAGTCTTGAATTTAACTTGCCTTATTCTATAGGAACCCTTTAAAATAGCAGCAACACCAAAGATGTGCAATATGACTGCAGCATGTTATTTAAGAGAATTTCACACGTGGTGCAGCTTTAAAGATATTTGAACATAACCATACTGTTCAAAATGAAAACAGGCCATCTATCTATATACTTGGTTTTCATGAGAAAATTCTTTCAACTTCTTTGTGTTGATTGTGCAGTAATCTGGTTAACATCATTATTAACATCCTTGGGATATTTGCTTTATGTCTTAACACCCTGCAAATGTAGATCCCATAGTGTCTGTGGTTATGTAGCTTAAACTCTCCCTAAAGCTTTGATATTTCTTGTCATTTTGTGGTTAAAATCTTAGTGTAATTCTGCTCGGGTAATCAAGTGAAATAGCTCCCTTTTCCCTTTGCTGAAATAACTTGTGAAGTGCAGGCTGCCTTGAAATTGCATTTGCTGTTTTTTTTTTTTTTATATTCATAGATTTTTCTCTCTTAGTGGTTTAAAGAAGTATTTTCAATGCCTTATTTCACTCCATTTTAGCTCCTTACAACAGCCCTCATTCCATTTACTAAGATGAATAAAAACTCTTTTGAATAAATAGATTATATGAGTCGAAAATGCAGACATATAGAATATGAAGTTTTGAGGTTAGTTCGGAAGCAACAATTCTCTCATTTATAGACCCAGACAGGATGAAAAGAAAGTGCACTGCTTTCAGTTTGATCATTAAACTGATCTTTAAGATCTTTCTAAGTTTTTGTAAAACTGGAGTTCAAACAGACAATGCCTCTTCATGTATCATCAACCAGAAGCCAAATGATAAAGGTTGCAAGTGCTAATATACGAGCCTTTGCTGTATTTTGGTGTTTTAAAAGGTTTAAGAAACAACCAGATGCTGCTAATATTCAAGCAGAAGTTTGAATTTTTTTTTGAGTGGGAAGCATATGGGATTCTTTTGATAAAAAAGGAGGGAACAGTTGGAACAGATGGTCTTGCAGTGTAATCTTAAGTGAGAACATGTTCTCCTTGTGCATACGTATGTTCTTTCATCATAGTTCCATAAAAAAAAAAGGAATGGTGACAAATCAAACATTTAAGTAATGATTAAGGAATTGTCCCTAGATTTGAGATGATTTGTGCTGGGGTGTTGATGACTCACCTGTCCAGGTTAGTGACCTACTCATTATCTCATCCAATGACAGCTCAGCATTAGCACCAGATTCACAAATGGAAGGCATTCAAGATTGTTACAACTCTTTTGAAGTTTGAAGACATTTCTCTTCCCATCCAGGAAACTTTCGGAATTCAAAATATCAGGAATAGCTTTGAGTTCGAGGTTTTATACAGTAGCCCAACAAAGCCTTGTTTTGTTTTGAAAACATGCAAACTGAAACGGATAAAGGGCTCCACCCCTTTGGAAACAGGGTCGTTTGGCTTTTTTGTTAGCCTGCAATGCCCCATACCTGTCTAAGTCTCTGAAAGGGGGGTCTGTAAAGGGAATTGTTGGCCTGGCTGAATAGGCAAAGTGTTTTCTAAGGTCACAAGACCAGCTGACTCCTTCAGTCACTGAGTTTTCTGTCATCTTTGGCACCTGTAGCATAAAAATGATATAAATCTCAAACCATGCAAACAGATCTTCATCTGAATGGCTAAAAAAAAAAGAACGGTGTCAGTATTAGTGTTGCGCCGATGCCATTTTTTGGCCCCGATACCGATACCTGGCTGTGCAGTATTGGCCGATACCGATACCATAATAATGTAAAATAATTGCCATCATGGCTTTGCCAAGCTGCTGCCTATCTTTGTGAAGCAGGAAACAATCCAATACAAAGTGAATCCAGTAGAACTTTTTATTGCCTACCAGGAATGGGTGAAAATAGTTGAATAAACGTATGGCTCTCAAAATGGTATCAGTGCCCTATTTGTTGGTACTCGCCGATACCGATACCACCATTTTAGGGCAGTATCGGGGCCCCGTCCGATACTGGTATCGGTGCAACACTAGTTAGTATTTCCTAGTCAAAGCCCACAGTTCGTCATGACTTCATCTTAGAATGAAAGGTTTAGAATCTTTAAGTAGCACAAAGTTATTTAAGTCAATTTATGGAAGGTTTTTTTAAAGAACAGTGGCCAAAATATACAAAGATAAGGTGACAAATGAGGTGACAAATGATCCAGACTGTGAAAAATAGTGGTCTTTTGATTTATTACACTTTTATTTTATCCCCTTATGAATTTGATATCCAAACAAACTTTTTGTGCTCAAATGCACGTCTTTAGTTATTTTCACATACATCCGAAGAAACACTCCTGCAGACAGACAGAGTTATGCTCAGATGCGGCGCCTGCATACAGGGTGACTTTGGCTGTCGCGAAACAGATGGCAGGGCTACTGCCCTCATCCAGCCTGCTCTTAGTGGCTCTGACAGCAGGTGTGGGCTTCACAGCGCCTCAACAGAGCAGGAAGCCCTTTAGTCCAACCCCTCTACTTCCCATAAAACTCAGCCTGCCACCAAGGCTCCTAACCCTGCCAAAGGAGCTGTTAAAACTTTACATTGCTAAAAAAACGAGGCAGATTTTACCACAGAAATGCAGCTCTGTCTTTACATTTCACTCTTTTCTGTCTTACTGACCAACAGCCTAGTTTTATTTATAGAACAGAATGAATATGACACTTCTGTTCAGTTTTCTCTCTTTTTCTGGTTCTTTCTCTCTGTTGCTTCTCAAATACATTTTAACCAATACAGCTTCCTTCAATATTAACTGAATAAATGCAGTGAT